TAATTTAATTATAGAGGTTAGCATTTTTTATTTTCTGTCTTCTATATTTTTCAGGTTTCTATATAGTTTAACCTATTACCTGTGCATTGGGGTTAAATATTCTGCTAAAGCAGTATGATACATTATAGATAGTTTTTCCTAAAGCATGTGCATCACTATTTCTGTGGGAGGATATTAATAACCAAAAGAGTGCCAAGTAGGAAAACTGTATTAAGGAAAGTAAAAAAGATGCTTGTGTATCTTTGTGAATGTACATGTGCATCTCCTGGGGAGATCGAGAATGCCATGTTCCTAAGCTTTAAACATAGGCACTTCTGCCTTGACTGCAGGACAGTATCTGCTTCCTCACACAGCACTACAAAGCATTTCCTGTACCACACACACATGAATTTAGCTTGTATTAAACAAATGTTTTTTTACATTTGAAGTTTTCACAATCAAAGTACATACAGTCAGCCCTCACTTAACATTGTTGATAGGCTCTGCAAAATAGTGGCTACCATTCATTGGTGGAGCATCTTGTGTGGTCCAGGTGCTGTGCAGCATACACACCTTCCCTCGAGTGCTCCCCATCATGACCAGTTCATCCAGTGAGCCTCTGAGGCCCCTCTAAACATCTGTCTTGCACTTTCTTGCATGTGTACCTCTCCAGGTGGGTGTGCATCTATACACCTTCACACATGGGCATATATTCTGTATGTATATAACTCCACATAGAAGAATAAATCACTGCATTGTTAGCCTGTCTTTAGCCACATTCTAAAGCCCTCAGTTCTCAAATGATCTGGCAAAGGTAGCCCACAATTAATTTTCTCTTTCAAATAGCAAGGACAGTTCTAGATAAGAATATAGTTTTTACACACATATATTGAGTCATGAAGAAAAATGCTGTGCCTTAAAGTGAGTGGGAGGTTTCTGAGTTTCACGTCTGGCTAATCGGAATGCTAGCATTTAAACTTGGAGCTCTTTTCTGTTACTCACTCCCACCTGCATTTGCTAGGTACTGGTCTAGGCTCTTAGAAAACAGCAGTGAACCACATCCGGCTCTCATGGAGCCCACATTCTACCTGAGGGCAACATCGGATTGACAGGTTCTGCTGAGGGCCTGAAGCAGCAGTCAGGATGCCAGTTTAGGGAGATCCTGGCCTTGGGAAGGAAGGGTGATACCTTCAATCTTGTGGTAAAGATTGACCCCTGAGGACGAGGTATTTAAGTGAGACATTTAAGGTGAGAAGTAGCCGTGTGGAGAACAGGCAGGGAAATGCCAAGTGCAAAATCCCCCAGGTGACAATCCCAGCACCAGCAGAGTGGAGTCTGCATGAGGTCAGCGAGATGTCAGGTCATAGAGGGCTTTGGGGATGGGGTGGAGTATTTTATTTTATTTTAATTCAGAGAATAATGGGAAGTAAGGGCTTTAAAGGAGAAGAGATATGTTTGGTTTGTTTTTAAAGCTCTTCCTGGAGCAGGTATTGTAAGTAGACATTAATAGGGCACGTGGCTGGAGGTCAGGTCTGCGAGGAGGTGAGAAGAACAGGCCAGGAGAACATCAGAGGAGAGTGTTACAAAGCCAGAGAGTCTTTCCAGGAGAAGAAAGTGGACATTTCTGCTCAGTGCAGCCAAGCAGTCGAGGGGTGACAACAGATGTATCCCTCGATGGTTAGTTCTTAGCAGGATGTGAGGCACTGCCAGGCAGCTCAGTTCACCTTCATAGCAACCCCGTTTTTCTGCCCATGTGCTCAAGATATTTATTTCTTTAGTTCAAATAACATTTAAATAAGGATCATCAGGGAAGTTAAGTAACTTGTCAAGGGTCACCCAGCTGGGAAGTGATGAGCTGGACTGTGAACCAGAGTCTCCTAAACCCAGAGCCTGGAGCTGTGTGAAAGCAGCAGGGCACTGACTCTGATTCTCCCCTTTCCTAGGCTACGGTCTCCGCTGCCACCGTGCCATCATCACCATCTGCCGTCTCATTGGCATCAAAGACATGTATGCCAAGGTCTCGGGGTCCGTGAACATGCTCAACCTCACCCGGGGCCTCTTCCATGGGCTCTCTTGCCAGGTAACCGTGCTTTGGGTCTGAAACAGAAGTTCTGGTGTGCATTTCAGTTGTGTGCGTTGAGACTACCATGTCCTAGGGCCACCTGAAACATGGGTTTTATTCTGACTAATCAGGTAGTTCATTCAACTGAAGAGTTAGTTCATGAAGATGAACCTTTAAAAAATACTTCATGGGCGTTTTGAACTTTCAAAAGTAAGTATTTTTAAAGTTAGTAATTAGACTCTGTTTTATTATGAAAAGAATACATGCTTGTTCTAAATCTCCAACAATATAGAATTAAAATAAAAAGAGAAAGTCCATTTCCTAATTTAGACCTTTCCATTGGAACCGGTGTGAGCCTCTCAGCGCTTGCTCCACTCATGAGAGCTGTCTTTAGGGTGGCTGGAGGTCAGGTACTCCTGGTTGTAGAATTTCCACTCAGCCAGCCCTCCTGTGGCTCTGGACGTTGTCCTTTCCCTGGATCAAGCTTAATTTGACTTAGTTGTTCTAGGCAGCAATCTCTGGTGTTAACCTATGCCGCCATCTTCGGTTCTCCGATGGTTAGTTCTTAGCAGGATGTGAGGCACTGCCAGGCAGCTCAGTTCACCTTCATAGCAACCCCGTTTTTCTGCCCATGTGCTCAAGATATTTATTTCTTTAGTTCAAATAACATTTAAATAAGGATCATCAGGGAAGTTAAGTAACTTGTCAAGGGTCACCCAGCTGGGAAGTGATGAGCTGGACTGTGAACCAGAGTCTCCTAAACCCAGAGCCTGGAGCTGTGTGAAAGCAGCAGGGCACTGACTCTGATTCTCCCCTTTCCTAGGCTACGGTCTCCGCTGCCACCGTGCCATCATCACCATCTGCCGTCTCATTGGCATCAAAGACATGTATGCCAAGGTCTCGGGGTCCGTGAACATGCTCAACCTCACCCGGGGCCTCTTCCATGGGCTCTCTTGCCAGGTAACCGTGCTTTGGGTCTGAAACAGAAGTTCTGGTGTGCATTTCAGTTGTGTGCGTTGAGACTACCTTGTCCTAGGGCCACCTGAAACATGGGTTTTATTCTGACTAATCAGGTAGTTCATTCAACTGAAGAGTTAGTTCATGAAGATGAACCTTTAAAAAATACTTCATGGGCGTTTTGAACTTTCAAAAGTAAGTATTTTTAAAGTTAGTAATTAGACTCTGTTTTATTATGAAAAGAATACATGCTTGTTCTAAATCTCCAACAATATAGAATTAAAATAAAAAGAGAAAGTCCATTTCCTAATTTAGACCTTTCCATTGGAACCGGTGTGAGCCTCTCAGTGCTTGCTCCACTCATGAGAGCTGTCTTTAGGGGAAGCAGTGTCCATGGCCCCGGCACAGGTTGTTCAGGCAGCTGCCTGACCTCTGAGGAGCCATGAGCCCTAATAGGCCAGGCTGACACCACACAGTTGGGAACCCTGGGCCAGTGCTGACTATCCCTCGAAAGGAGGGGTAGATCTTAGCAGAGCTGCATGAGAGAAAAGACAGCTGGGTTCAAGAGACTCCTTTCTGTGGCCTCCGTTTGTTGAGGATTTTGACAGGCTTCCTTACAGAGAGTTTGATGGCTGTTTTTGAACAAAGTGATCTGTGGAATCATTGTAGCTCTCTCTGTTCAAAATAGGAAAATTAATGAAAAGAAAGGGCTTTGTTTAAAAGGAATATACCTAGGAATAAACTTAACCAAGGAGGTAAAAGACTTGTACTCAGAAAATTACAGAATGCTGAAAAAAGAGATAGAGGAAGACATAAATAAATAGAAGAAGATACCGTGTTCATGGATTGGTAGAATCAACATCATTAAAATGTCCATACTACCCAAAGCAATCTATAGATTCAATGCAATCCCCGTGAAAATACTAACGGCACATTTCAAAGACCTAGAACAAACTCCAAAAATTTATCTGGAATAAAAAAAGACCCCGAATAGCTGCAGCAATCTTGAGAAAGAAGAACAAAGGTAGACGAATCACAATACCAGATATCAAGCTGTATTACAAAGCCACTCTTCTCAAAACCACCTGGTAGTGGCACAAGAACAGACATATAGACCAACGGAACAGAACGGAGAACTCAGAAATTGACCCAAGCCATTGTGCTCAAATAATATTTGAAAAAGGAGGCAAGAGCATACAATGGAGTCAAGACAGTCTCTTCAATAAACTAGGGGTGCCGCCCTATCTTAACCCTGAACCTCTCCATGCAGAGCTCCAGCATGCCTGGCCCAGCCCCCCTGGCCTTCTCTGGCCTTCTCTGGCCACTTCAAGCCCTGCCCTCAGTCCCTCGAGTCGCATAGGGCTGGTCCTGTCTTTTCTGGGCACCTCCTTGCTTCTGCCCCATCTCCGGAGCAACGCGGCGGCTCTGCCCCATCATGGCACTGGAGGAGACCATGGAAGCCTCCTGCCTGCTGCGCTGTGCTCCTTTCTCTGGCATGTCGGCCTCGGGGCTCCTCCCAGCTCCTGCCCCATCTCCATCTCCGGAGCAACACCCCAGCTTATATGCTAATGACCTGATCGTTATTGTTATGGTGTATCGACCATTAGCATATTAGCTCTTTGTTAGTATAGATGGTGTTGGGAAAATTGGACAGATACATGCAAAAAAATGAAACTAGACCACCGACTTACACCATACACAAAAATAGACTCAAAATGGATAAAGGACTTAAACATAAGACAGGAAACCATAAAAGTCTTAGCATTGCATGGGAGGACATATTTGCCAATGATACATCCGATAAGGGGTTAACTTCAAAAAGTTACAGGGAAATCATACAGCTTAACAAAAGGAAGATATACAATCCAATCAAAAAATGGGCAAAGGACCTAAATAGACACTTTTCAAAAGAGGGCATACAGAAGGCCAAGAGACATGAAAACATGCTCAAAGTCAATCATCTGAGGGATGCAAATCCAAACAACAAAGAGGTGCCATCTCCCACCTGTCAGAATGGGTATCATCACCAAATCCACAAACGACAAGTGCTGGCGAGGATGTGGAGAAAAAGAAACCCTCGTGCACTGCTGGTGGGAATGCAGACTGGTGCAGCCACTGTGGAGAACAGTATGGAGTTTCCTCAAAAAATTAAAAATGGAACAGCCATTTGACCAAGTAATCCCACTTCTAGGAATATAGCCCAAGAAATCAGAAACACCAATCAGAAAGGATATATGCACCCCTATGTTCATAGCAGCACAATTTACAATAGCTAAGATTTGGAAACAGCCTAAGTGCCCATCAGCAGATGAGTGGATTAAAAAACTGGGTACATCTACACAATGGAATACTATGCTGCTATAAAAAAAAAAGGAATTCTTACCATTTGCAACAGCATGGATGGAACTGGAAAGCATTATGTTAAGTGAAATAAGCCAGTCAGAGAAAGGTGTCACGTGATCTCATTTGTGGAATATAATGAACAACATAAACTGATGAACAAAAATAGAACCAGAGACATAGAAGCATCAAACAGACTGTCCATAAAAAAAAGAAAACATCTTTTTTGAACAGCTGTGTGTGTGTGTATGTGTGTGCTGTCCAAAACATCCTTCAAAAGTACTTCTGAATTTAAACTTATTGTTAGAGGTTTAATTATTTGATGTGACTAAGATTGTTTATTTTTTAAATATATTTTATTTCAGAGAGGAAGGGAGAGGAAGAGTGAGATAGAAACATCAATAATGAGAGAGAATCATTGATTGACTGCCTCCTGCACACCCCCTACTGGGGATCGAGCCTACAACCCAGGCATGTGCCCTTGACTGGAATCGGTCCCAGAACAGTGCAGTTCACAGGCTGATGCTCTATCCACTGAGCCAAACCAGCTAGGGCAAGATTGGTTTTTGTTTTTTTTTTTAATTTTTATCTTTTAAATGTATTTTATTGATTTTTTACAGAGAGGAAGGGAGAGAGATAGAGAGTTAGAAACATCGATGAGAGAGAAACATCGATCAGCTGCCTCCTGCACGCCCCCCACTGGGGATGTGCCCGCAACCCAGGTACGTGCCCTTGACCGGAATCAAACCCGGGACCCTTCAGTCCGCAGGCTGACGCTCTATCCACTGAGCCAAACTGGTTTCGGCAAGATTGGTTTTAGATAGCTCATATTTATGATCAAGTATATTTATTTACTTATATGATGTTTTTGTTTTACATTAGTACTTTGAATCTTCTAATGTAACTATCCCAGATACCACCAGCTATTAAAAAGTTGCATTATTTAATGTGCTACTCACGAGAAAAAGTGCCACCAATTTAAGTAATGTGCTATTGATTATCAGACACTGATTTAAATTAGTTTGTTTTTATGAAACAGCTCATCTCTTTTCTAATTTCAAACATATGTAGTATTAGAATACTACAAGGTAGACAGAACCTGGAAACATGAGATTGAACGTATCAGATATTTTAAGAAACCATCTGTAAACCATCCACTGATGTTATTTGTCTGTTTCCAGACTTTGATGGCTACCTTCTGTCATGAGTCCCCTGGCACTCTCATCCGTGCCACCAGTACCACCTCCACATCATTTTATTTTATCTATAAATATGTATCTGAAAGATAAGGATTTGAAAGTACCCACAACACTATTTACTTTATTACCTAAAGAATTAATGGGAATTTAGTATTATCACACACCTCATCAGAGCTCATAGAAATGTCCATTTAGCCCTAGCCAGTTTGGCTCAGAGCGGTAGCCTGGGGACTGAAGGGTCCCAGGTTCGTTTCTGGTAAAGGGCACATGCCTGGGTTGTGAGCTCGATCCCCAGTAGGGGCATGCAGGAGGCAGCCAATCAACGATTCTCTCTCGTCATTGATGTTCCCACCTTCCCCTCTCCTTTCCTTTCTGAAATCAATAAAAATATATTTAAAAAAAAGAAATGGCCATTTAAAAATAATTTTTTAAGCAATTTGTTTGAATCAGGTTGCAGATGGGTCAATACATTGTAAGTTTTTGCTGTGTCTTTTAAGTCATTTTTAATGTGTAGGTTCCCTTCTTTTTTCTTGCATTTGGTTAGTAGAAAAAACCAGGCTGTTCCTACTGTGGTTTCCCAGTCTGGTGCTGACTACATATCTGCATGTGGATCCTCCACATTTTCTTTCCCTTTATGTCCTGTGGGAGCTAGACTAGGGCTTGATGATATTCAGATTGATTTTGGGCACACCCTGGCACATGATTGGCAGGGTTTGGAAGGACAATGCCTTACCTCTGTCCGCATTGTGGGTAGGAAGGTGTGGCTGGGATTATTCCACCTACAACAGGTCACCCCAGAATCATCTGAAAGGGTATTTAAGTCCTAAGTGGTACAGTGTTGTCACTGCCCACTTCCCTCTAGCTGAAGGCAGTTCCTGCTCTTTGAATTACAGATGTGCCTCACAGACCTAACTGCTCTTCTCCATTTGGTCTTGCCCAGGAAACCCACCAACAGCTGGCTGATAAAAAGAGTCTCCATGTTGTGGAGTTCCGGGAGGAGTGCGGCCCTCTGCCCATCGTGGTCGCCTCACCCCAGGGAGCCGTGAGAAAGGATCCAGAGCCGGAAGATGAGGTTCCGGACATCAAACTGGACTGGGAGGATGTGAAGATCGCCCAGGGAATGAAGCGCTCTGTGTGGTCGGGTTTAAAGAGAGCTGCCACCTGAGTTCTCCTGGGCCTCATCCACCCGTTGGTCAGGTCAGCACCTGGAGGAGACTCAGCTCGTTCACCTTGGAACATCATGGCTTTTTTTTTTTTTTTTTTTAAGGAGAAAGACCAACCTCAAGTTCTTTATTTACAAATAATAAATAATTATAGTTTTAACTTATTGAGCATGTGGTATGTATTAGTCACTGTGATAGAATATAATAGAATCAGGGGCATAGAAAGGGAGTGGACTGACTATTCTTGGGGTGGGGGGTGCAGGAAGAGACTGGACAAAAATCGTACACCTATGGATGAGGGCAGTGGGGTGGGGGCAGAGGGTGGGGTGGGAACCGGGTGGAGGGGAGCTATGGGGTAGGGGGAAAGAGGAACAACTGTAATAATCTGAACTATAAAGATTTAATTAAAGAAAAAGGAACTTTGCATAATATCCTTGTTCAAGACTATCTTATCTAATAAAAGAGAAATATGTAAATTGACCATCACTTTGTGACACCCCAGCCAATCAGGAGGAGGTATACAAATTAACCCCCCAAGATGGTGGTGGCTCTGCCCCCTGGCCGCTCCTGGGCTCTGGGCAGTGTGCCTCCTCAGGGCCTCCCTGCCGTGCTCCATACCTGTCAACTGATCTTGCAGCCTCCCTGTGGCCCAGCCCTCTGCCTCAGAGGCAACCCTTCCAGTGTCTGCCGTCACCCTATACCCTACCTCTGCCCTGTTGCTCTGGTAAACAAAACCCTAGTGTTGGAGCAGTCCAGTGGGCACGGACGTGTGTGGGAGCTCACTCAGTGCACAATTAGCATGCCCTGGGAGCCCCGGGCCAGCCAAGTGGCGATGGTGGCAGCTATGGTGGCAGTGGCAGGCGGCTCAGCTTTATTTTGAATAGATGAAAGAGGCCACCTACACAGTAACACAAATGATCAGATCTCCCTATCTCACCAAATCAAGAGGGGAGGGGCAATGGGCGTGGAGGGAGGGCGGGCAGTCAGGAGGCAGAGGGTGAAGGAGGAAGAGGATAAGGAAGGGGGCCAGTTGCATCCCACTTTCACAATAGGAAAGTGAACCGCACTAGCGCACCCAACATCTCCAGTCCTCCCCGCCTCTGCTGCCGCTGCACAGGCTGCCAGAACGAGCCCTCCGTGTGCTGGCAGCCAGGGAAAGGAAGGCCTTTTCTTGCATGAATCTTTGTGCATCGGGCTTCTAGTTTTAAAATTCATGTAAACTATAACCATAAATGAATTAGGCAGATAGTCTGACCCAATCAGAAACAATGTGTAATTAAGTGGTAGTTACTTGACTGTAGTCACACCACTGGGAAGTAGAGGGAAGTGGGCAAGCCTTGTTCTTTTTGACTCTAGAAATTTTATTAAGCCTCTTTGAATGGATATTTCAGTGGTTGTCCTAGGTGTTGCATTATGCATACATTGCTTATCACCAGTCTACTGATGTGGCCAAGTGACACATAGACCTTACCTCCCTTTAAATCTCTTCACCTTCCCCATTTCTAATGGTTTTAAAATTTCCTCTGCGGACATTGAAAACCACATTAGTGCTAGTCTTTCTGCTTCCAGCAGCAAACATAATAGAGAAAGCTCAAGGGGGAAGAAAAAACCCTATCTCATTTACCCATAGTTTTACTCTTTCTTCCTTCCTGATATTCCAGGAGTCCTTTAATCATCTTGAGTAGGAAAAAAACAGTTCTGTGTTTCTCTTTTACCATCACTACTACGATATACACACTTGTGATACCAGATGGAGGCAGATTTCTCCCCCAGCAAGCAATTCTCTGAAACACCAGAGCGTGTCCTACAATTAATGCTGACACTGCCTGGAGACAGCATCAGATCCCACAGGTAAGGGCTCAGTCACACAAGACTGCCCTCCCTCCATTTCAGATGTCAAAACTAAGGTGGGTTGTCACCTGTGCTTTCAACTGACCAGCTGTAAGTCAAAAGATCCCACGAATGTCCTCACTGGGATCCATTGACTTGCTAGAACCATTACAGAACTTGGGGAACAGTTTACTTACCTTTACCACTTGATTATAAAAGGAAGCGATGAGATACAGATGAGCATCCAGAGGGAAGATGTGCTCAGGGAGAGGCATGAGGGAAGGGTGTGGAGCTTCCGTACCTGCTCAAAGCGCCACTCTCCCCACACCTCCCCAAGTTCACCAACCGGAAGGAAGCTCTCCAGCCCCCATACATTTGGAGGCTTTCTCACATAGGCACGAATGATCAATCATTAACCCTATTTCTAGCCCCTCTCCCCTCTGGAAGATGGGGGCTTGGGGTGCTAGGAAATTTGAAGCTGCCTTTTGTTTTTAGAGAGAAACATCTATTTGTTGTTTTACTTTTTTTAAAAATATATTTTATTGATTTTTTTTTTATAGAGAGGAAGGGAGAGGGATAGAGTTAGAAACTTTGATGAGAGAGAAACATTGATCAGCTGCCTCCTGCACACTCCCTATTGGGGATGTGCCCACAACCAAGGTACATGCCCTTGACCAGATTGGAACCTGGGACCCTTGAGTCCACAGACTGATGCTCTATCCACTGAGCCAAACCAGTTAGGGCTGTTTTACTTTTTTATGCTTTCATTGGCCGTTTCTTGTATGTGCGCTGACCAGGATCGAACCCACAACGTTGGCCTATCGGGATGATGCTCTAACCAACTGAGCTACCCAGCCAGAGCTCAAAGCTTCTAATCATGACTTGGTCTTTCTGGTAACCAGCCTTCATCCAGGAGCCCACCCAGAGTACCTCAACAAAAGACACCCCTGTCACCCAGGAAATTACAAATGACTTAGGAACTCTGTCAGGGACCAAAGTCAACTGCCAGACTGTTTTCCCCAGTGGCTGCACCATTTTACATTCCCACCAGCCATGTGTGAGGTTTTCCTCACATCCTTATCAACATAAGTTTTGTCTTGGTGATAGCTGTTCTAGTGGCTGTGAAGTGGTATCTTGTGGTTTTGATTTGCATCCCTCATGGCTAATGATATTGAGCATCTTTTCATGTGCTTATTGGCCATTTTTATGTTCCTTGAAGAAAAGTGTAATCAGGTCCTTTGTTCATTTTAAAAATAGAGTTATTTGTGTTTTTATCGAATATAGTGGTTCTTTTTTTAAAATGTTTTTATTGATTTTAGAGAGACAAGGAGAGAGAAACGTCAATGAGAGAAAACCATCAATTGGCTGCCTCCTGCACTCCCCCTACTAGGGATGGAGCCTGCAGCCCAGGCATGTGCCCCAAACGGGAATCAGACCAGCGACCTCTTGGTGCATGGGAAGTTGCTCAATCAACAGAAACACTCTGGCCAGAGCAAATGTAATAGTTTTTGATAGATTTTACATATGAGCTCTCTATTAGTTACATAACTTGCAAAAGTTTTCTCCCATTTTGTGGGATATATTATTTTCTTATTTCTTTGGATATTTTTTCTTTTTTCTTTAAAAAAAAACTTAATTGACTTCAGAAAGGCTATTTTTTATTGATATCAGAGAGAGTAAGGGAGAGGGAGAGAAAGAGAGAAACATCAATGATGAGAATCATTGATTGACTGCCTCCTGCACGCCCCCTACTGGGGATTGAGCCCACAACCCAGGCATGTGCCCTTGACTGGAATCGAACCTGGGACCCTTTAGTCTGCAGGCTGATGCTCTATCCGCTGAGCCAAACTGACTAGGGCATCTTTGAATGTTTTTAAATTGCACTCATATACTCTGTGAGAGACATTCTTGGCACAAATGTTAGATCTTTTGTGGTGTCCCACACATTCCTGAGGCTCTGTTCATTTTTTTATAGTCTGCTTACTCTCTGTTGTTCAAATTGGATAATTACTGTTGTTATATCTTCAGAATCATTAATTCCTCTTCATTTTGCTTTTGTTCTCATCCATTTAAAATTTTTATTTTGGCTGTTATGTATTCCAGTTCTAAAATTTCCATTTGCTTCTTTGTTTTTTTTTGGTTTTTTTTAAAAATATATTTTATTGATTTTTCACAGAGAGGAAGGGAGAGAGATAGAGAGAGTTAGAAACATCGATGAGAGAGAAACATCGATCAGCTGCCTCCTGCACATCCCCCATTGGGGATGTGCCCGCAACCCAGGTACATGCCCTTGACCGGAATCGAACCTGGGACCCTTCAGTCCGCAGGCCGACGTTCTATCCACTGAGCCAAACCGGTTTCGACTTCTTTGTTTTTTTAATCTTATATTTCTTTGATGAGGTATTTTTTTTTGTTTCAAGCATGTTTATAAATTCTGAAATACATATTTTTAAATATATTTTTATTGATTTATGAGAGGAAGGGAAAGGGAGAGAGAGATAGAAATATCAATGATGAGAGAAAATCATTGACCGGCTGCCTCCTGCATGCCCCATATGGGATCAAGCCTGCAACCCAGGCATATGCCCTTGACCGGAATTGAACCTGGGACCCTTTAGTCCGAAGGCTAATGCTCTATCCACTGAGCAACACCAGCTAGGGTGATTTCTGAAATATTTTTATGGTGGCTGCTTTAAAATCTTTATTGTATAATTTCAGCATCTGTGTCATCTCAGTGTTGGCATCGTTTGATTGTCTTTTCTCACTCCAGTTGAAAATTTCTTTTTCTTGATATGACAAGTGGCTTTGGCTATATCCTGGACATGTTCAGAAGATTATGAAATTCAGGGTGTTATTTAAATCGCCTGTAGCAGGTGTCCTCTTGGCTGCACAGGGCTGGGAGGGAGCACTGCCTTGTTGCTATCAAGTGGGGAAATCCAGGTTCCCTCCTCAGGCTGCTCCAGGCCTCCACTCTGCCTGGGCTGAGGGGGAGTAGCCCAGAGATGCTGTGGGAGAGGGAGGAAGCCTTGGTGGGCAGGATGGCAGTGAAAGTGCCCAACCTGTGACTTCAGATGAGGAGGGGGCCACATTCTGTGTATGCTATCTGGCTTGAGTAGGGAAGTTTTTTGTCTTGCTGGATTACCCTCCTTACATATCTAAGAACTATTAAGACATTGACTTCAGGCAACAAAGGACAATGACCCCTTGGAGATGGGAAACACAACTATCCCCACTTATTATCTGGAAAAAGTGCAAGGCTCCAGGAAGGATCCTCCTGTCAGACCTGGGGGGTCTCCCTGAGTGGAGAGCCAGGGGCAGTCAAGGTGGCTAGAGTTCACACGGGAGAATTGCTTAGGAGGGAGCTTGCACAGCAAGAGCACTGAGGTCTGCAGAAGGACCCATCAACCCATCACATACTTGTGGGCGAAAGAGT